GAAAACCCTACAGCGATAGCAGCCTAAAGACTTAATAGTATGTTTGGTAGATGACCTCGACAGTAAGAAATTTTCAAAAAAAATGATCAAAATCCGTTGAGTAGAAGCTGAGATATGAGCGTTTTACTGTTGGCGACCCGACGGTATAATACGCGAGCAATTCACCCATATAACGGGTTATGCAAAAGTTCTTGGAAAAATGTCAGTCTCTGTTGTATTTGAACGGAAGGTGATAGAAATCTAATTCTTTTTTTGTTAGATAGAGCATCGTTTCTACGTTAAAAGAACATATTTCGCAGACTTATATCTATACACTGATAGCAGAATCCATTCTATTTTGCTGCAACCCCTAAAAAGCAGTCTGTAAACGTTTTTTACAGTATACAAGTGGCATATCTCCACAAAGACATGTGCTTGTGAGCTCAAATGACTCCTTAATTGTGTAATTGCTTAAGACTCACTTAGAGAATAAAAATCAGCTCAAACGGGCTTTTCTTTACAGAGACCCAGTTTTTTAATATTATGTTGAAATAAATTCCAATTGTTTACGCAACAGTAAACTTTGCAGTTTCAGCTATGTAATAAACTTAGAACTAACAATCTAATAAAGTTTTTATACATAGTCTTGTAGTCTCTGAAAAGCTCGATTTGTCGTAGTCGATTTTGTTTTAATTGATTCTGAAAAATTGATATATAAAGTGATCAGAGTTTTGAACAATTGATATATGCAAATTTTCAAAAAAATGGACATTAGTTTTTCTTATCAAAAGTAGAGGATAATAATCAAACTTGGCAATGATTTGTATGTGTAACTGAAGCTTATATCATGTTGCATATAACCTGCAAAAATCAGCCTAAATTTTCACGTCTAAGGCAAAATATTGTTTTTTTTGCGAAGAAGGCAAAAGCAAAATTGTAGAAATTTACACTACATTGTTGTAGGAATTCTAGAAAAACCGAATGGATTCCACTATTAGTGTATGAATAGAAGTCTGCGAAATGTGTTCTTTTAAAGTAGAAACGATGCTCTATCTAACAAAAAAAGAATTAGATTTCTATCCCCTTCCGTTCAAATACAACAGAGACTGACATTTTTCCAAGAACTTTTGCATAACCCGTTATTCTATTAATCTATCTATGAAAACAACATATAGGAAAATTTTACTACATCAATAGGTACTAATTAGCAAAATAATGAATTAAGTAATGTTCCAAAATTTACAACGAGTCAAAAACTATCCGCCTGTTGCTTATCGAAACTTCTCAAAATTGTTAGACTCGATATAATAGATAACAGTAGTAAAATAAGAATGATTCGATAGAGTAATTCTAATACTAGTATAGCCAAACATATTAAAATAGACTAACTTCTCAAGTGTTAAGGGAATGCAGCAATATCAACAAAACTATTAAAAGAAAATCATGTAAGTATAGTCACTGAAAAATATTCATGAAATTCACAACGCCTCAGGATCAATGATTTCAATGCCTGAATCTATGAATTTATGGTGGAAAACCGTGATAAAGATACCATTCCCTGCTAGAAAACTTTGAAAAAAAAAGTAGAAATTTGGAAGTAGAAATCTGGCAATGGAATGTCATGATTAGCTATGAATTAGGTGCAGCTGATTCCGAGCGAATCTAGAAAAATTCGGTCTCTAGACAGAATGACCAAATTCTTATTGCCAAGCTCCTAGTCTTTGACGAAATATTTCGGCAGGAACCAGCCGTACTTCAATTAGCTGGGAGTTAATAAAGGTGTACTTGAATGACATGATCAATCTATTTCATATTAAAAATAAAGACGTTTGAAATTATGATAGAACATTCCTAAATACAACTATTGACAGTAGAAAATATTCAATAATCCTATCAAAGAACCTACTATAGATAGTAGTGAAGCATGTAAAACTTTATTACAACTATTAGTAGATGGTGACATTACATATAAAGTTTCTTTTTTTAACAAAAGAAGCGACTTTCATTTTAACCAAATAGATAAATTAAAAAGACGGTCTAATTCATGATTTATTTACATTTGATTTGAATCAATGTCATCTAGAAAAAAAGTTATTTTAAATTACATATATTAGAACATCATAAAAATGATAAGTGTGTTGAACTAGCTGAAAGTATTATTGTTATTAAGCAATATAATAATTTAATCATTAGATTTGAAAATCATAATTATGATAAAAATTTAATAGCGGCTAAACAATAATATAAATTTTATTCAAATTTATCAAGATCTAATTGATATGATTATTTGATAATAACTATAATTTAGTTTTTTATCTTTTTATCATATTTTTTATTTTGTCTATAATTTTTCTAAAAACTAAAATTCAAAATAAGCCACATACATTGATTTGTTTACTTGACAAAAATGATCGATATTTTCTTCATGTTAGTATAATTAAAATATAGACTATTCAATATCTTATTAAACAATCGACAAGTCATTTTCGTCATCGAAATATTTTGTCTTTCTCATTGTATTTATCAAAATTTCTTTTAGAACTCATATTCATTGGCATACACTTGAACTTTTAAATACAATCCATGGAAAATAGAATTATTTTCTTTTTTATTAATTTCTATTTTGTAATTTGGATAATAAATGCCATGAAGAATTACACATATATATCGAAAATGACTCTTATCTTTTTTTTTTTCGATTTGTTTATTTATTTGATGAAACATCCGATCGTGTTCATCAATAAAGATATTTATGGTTCAACACTCTGCATCCTGTCATGTAGATGTAATAGATCTTTTTTTTTTTATCATTGCATCAAAGTCAAGGTTTATTTTCTTGCTTCCGACATTTGTCAGCTTGTGTAGTACAAAAATATTCAAGGCTTTTTATTTTTTGTTGAGTTTATTCTTTTTCTTTCAAATTGTCACGTAATAAAATAAATACGATATTTTGTTGTTTCTGTCCAATGAAAAACATTACGTGTTTTTTTCTTCCTTATTGACATGTTTATTAGGATTGAAATAATGCGATGTTTTATTTTTTAATTGCGGAAGCTAATGATTTTGAGGATATAGGCGATGGGTGGACTACCACGCAGAATTGTCGATATTTTATACAAGTAGAAGAGGCTAAAAGTTCGTAGAAAGTCTACAAATTCTATCAGGAAGTACTTGCATTCTCGCAGTGCTAAAATTAGTGATGGAGGACAAACGGGAGGAAGGAGAGATAACAAGACTTATTGTAACTTGGCCCCTCCTACAATCGATAGCTTGTCGCTAGGTCATCTTTCTCTGCAGTTTATCCCGTCCTATTGATCTCTCAACGACATTATCTGTTTATTTTTATTTCACTTTACATCCGAGAAAGGCAAACGATATTTTAAAATCTGATTTCTGCTCAAAGTTAACGCAACGCTGTAAAAATTTAGTAGAAATTATTAACACTTTTCGCAGAAAGTTGCGCATTACAGGAGACGAAAGCTTCGTATCTAACCAGAGGTGCAGAATCTGCCGTGATTTTAAAAAATTTCTCCGCACGACAGTTTCCTTCCCTTAGCTATTTTCCCGAAACTCTCCTAGGAATCGAAAAATTTTCCCACACAGCCGTACGCGCACACGAGTAGATTCTGCACCTTTGCATCTAACCTTATTGAAAGTCCTAGTATCAGCTCTTAAAAATATGGTGACAAGTATTTATCCTTATCCAGAGTGATGACTCCGACACTTATTTCATTAAGGTTTCTGTCAGTTTTAGTTGAAAAACTCTAGAAAAAATCAGATCATGACTACATGATGTGTCGCATTTTTGCTTTCATCGTTCAGCAATTTTCATAGGTTTTCGACAAAATTCCTCTACACGTTGTTTCCCTCTGACAAAAGGTTTGCATCGTCAACAGTTTTTATATTACTATATTATAAGGTTTTTCAGACAAGAGAAATTTGTATTCATCAAGATGACATATCTATAAAAAAAACAAAGTTAAACATTTTGTGATTGATTGAAATGGTCGATTGATCAATAAAAATTCATTTTATTTAAAGTTCCATAATTTCGATTTCAAATATTAAAACTTAGACATTTTGTATTAAAAGTGATGTAGTAACAACGCTGAAGACATTCATTGCGTTTATAAATGTTGGATGCGATTAGAGAAATGACTGTAAAATCACAGTAAGAATATGTGACGCTGAAGTGAAGCTATTGTCTTCAAAGTCTATTTAGTGATGCCAAGCACATCATAAATTTCGTTAGCAAAATATAAATGAATTCGATTTTAATCCCAAATACAGCGTTGACTTTGTTCCGATCACTTAAAAACGTCATATACGCAGTTGTTACTTTTGAAAATCACAGAAGATATCATACTTAATTGATATTTTAATCATTCAAGTCAAGAATTATTGCGTCTGAAGATATCTAATAGATTGAACTTCTGAAGATTTGTCAACTGTATCTCATTATCATCGAATTCTTATGGCAAAAAAAGAAAGCGAAAGATTTTGATGACTTTTGACTCGAACTATTGTTACTAGTGATTTGCTGGACATTGAACAGAAGCAAATAAGAGTACTAAAATCAAGACAAGATAAATCATCAATGATAATTTTATGTTAAAATTAGAATAGAATTATTATTAATTTTCATCTGAGAAACATTTTTTTTTCAAATGTTTTAAACAGATAATTTCAATAGAAATAAAAGTATTATTTGAAAATCATTTAATAATTCGGCTATAACGAGTTATATCAAGCTCAAGTCGAAAATACATATTTCTTGTTAAACTAATGACACTGGTTTCCAATAAAAGTCTCAAATTGAATAAGACAAATTTTCAAAAAGTATATTATAATCGAGAATATTAATTTCATATTGTGAAAAGCAGAAGCATATAATGCAAACACAAACGCACAATAACAAGTACATAGATTAATTTTTTAAAGCAAATTACATCATCTACTCAGTCAACCATTGAATTAGTCAATATTTAGAAAAATTTTGATGTTCAATAATATGAAGAATATCAGAATTTATTAGGGATAAATTTTAATACATCAAAACCTTGATGCGTAGGTAATATTATTTTCTTAAATTCTTGTTTGTAAAGTGTTGATGGTACAATGAAAATTATGAAAACTAATGCTGCTGGAATAAATGAAAGAAAATAACCGATAAGATAGAACCAAAACAAGTTGGATGATTTGTCACAGTCTAATATAATTGAAATGATTAAATGAGGTAATGTTAAAACTATAATTATAGTAGGACTAATTATAAGATGTTTATATTGTTTTAATTTGAATATAAGATGAATCCAGACAGTACGACCAGTTTTACTAACAGCTCGTTGACGAGCAGTTACTATAATGATGAGTAGAGCCGAGAATAAATTGATACATAATGGAGCAAAATAATGAAAAAATATCAATGTTAAACTATACATTTGTAGCCATGGCGAATAAGTGACAACACACCAACTTCGTTCTTCCATTTTATCTTCAAATAAACGAAGACTACGTAGTTGTGGAACGAAAAGACCGACCATAATAAAAGGTAATAACATCACTATATACGTAGCAACTCGTTTGCTTTTATTCTTGTTAAAATTAATTCCTTGAAATACAGACACTGTTCGCTCTATAGCTACACAAGCATTAAACCAATTATCTAGGTACAAAGCGATTTTTAGTATAGGTTCAATAACCATGCAATTAGCATAGAGAATAGTATTTTGACCCAAGATATCTTGACGAGAAAGAAAAAGAAACCAAAATTTAAGTGTAAATAAGATCATAGTTGATAATGAAGTGATTGATGATGCCAAGAGATATATTCCACAGCCGACATCGCGTGTTTTTTTTCTTAAAAATGTTATTATTGATAAAATGCTATTGATGATACCTATTACACATATCAACATAGTGACAATAGCACTTAATTTTACCTGGAAAGATTGTTCAGATAGCATTAAATTATTTTTAAATTCATAACCTAAGATTTCATCTAATGTTGAACCAAGACCTTTCGCATAAAATTGACATTGATTACCAAAGAAGCATTTGGGACATACACAAATTTTTGTAGATGGACAAGATGGATGATCTTGTAAACAGTATGCTTCATTTTCACAATAATTTTTCATTGGACATCGAAAATCTTCATAACGTGTGAATGTCAAACAATTAGCATGATGATCATTTGTGCACAAACATAAAAACTCTTCGTCAACGAAACAAGTCAAATCGTGACGTTCTCCACACACTTTATAATAAGATGGAATTCGTTCATACTGATGTTTTTCCAATATTGTAGAATTGAACAGTTGTTCGCTAGGAACACATTCTTGTGCAGGACTGATTGATGTTGAGATATCTAGCCTTGGAGATTGTTGAAGTACAGCAAGATAATATTTGTTATTGACTTGAATAATCATCATATGATAAAGTACTGAAATATGAAAAGTAACAGTACGTTGAAAGAGAGTCAATTTTCGAAGTATAATTGTATTGATTGGATCAGATTCGTTAGATAGAGTGAAAAAATACGCTATAAGATATGATGGAACTTGGATGTTATTCAAAGAAACATCAACTGTAGCTCTTGAATATTGACAGTTTGGTCCAAAAAATCTATCCGGACAAATACAAGTATAGCTACTTCCAGGAATTGTCACATCAGCTGGTACACATTGGCCATTATTTTGACAAGCATTGTCTGGACATGTGGATTCGAATAAACATCGTGGACCAAACTTGTCTAAAGGACATACACATATCGATTTATTTTTTGATGATCCTATACATATCGAATTGGACAAACATGACTGACAATTGATCGGTATATTACATTGAATGCCTGACCATCCAGAACGGCATTGACAAAAATACTTTTCTTTGTTTAAGTATTTTATACATTTGCCATTGTTGCAAGTAATCATGCATTTTGATGAAATCTGAATTAGATCATTCGATATTTCCAATGAAATGGCTAGTCGATTGACAGGTAAAAAAAGAAAATCAATAGAGAAGTGCCAACTTCCAACATATGTTATGTCATTTTTTTTGAATACATCGATACGTACGGCAAAATTCTTGGAAAGATTTTTTGGTCGTGTCGAAAACAACAAATACCGATTTAATTTAATACTACAACTTTGTTTTACTGTGTATATAAATTGATCATATGCATCAATCTGTTGAAATTCATCGTCATCATCGATCAACATGATGATAACAGCATAAATAGCCGATCTATCAACTGCTGTCAATTGTAATGTCAAACTAATCCGTTGATTTTGATATTGACACAGATTACCATAGTAACTAGGTGGGCACATGCATGCCTTATTATCATCGTTATTTTCATTCCAAGTACGAACAATGAGCCCACGATGGCAATGCCATGGCCATAATTTATTCTGAATTTGAAGTTCAGTGGTATTTACAATAGGAAGCTGACTTACTGACCATTGAATCATTTTATTGACGACACTATTCTGTAATAGAGGATATCTCGGTGAAGTATCCACAGAAAAAAATGAAGATCTGCGTTTTTTATGTTCATTCGGTCCACAAAGGATCTCTTCAACATCACTATAGTTGTGTGATGAAACTTCCTCACATTTGATTGGATGAGTACTACAAATGTCTTCATCTTCACCATTAACGCAATTTCGTTTGCCGTCACATAACTCAGATTTTTTTATGCATCCATCGTCGTCTATACATTGGAAGCGCATAGATCCTTTTATTAAATCATATGCGTATGGACATAGATGTGGTTCGTCTATTGCTCCAAAGCAATCAGTCTCTTTATTGTTAATATTTGTCGAGGACAAGCAAATAACTGTGTAGTTAACAGCAGATATACATGCGAGAGTTCCTGAACGACATGTTGTTTGGGTACAATTGTCTTCATCTTGTCCATCGTCACATGACCAAAAACCATCGCAACGAGCATATATATTGTTACACCATGCAGTTTCACACCCTGCTTCTTCAGTTTGTAGTTTTCCATTATGGTTCACGAAATGGTGTACCATCAGGCCATCGCAGAAGCTTTGAAATGGAATTTTTTTTGATATTTCTATGCCGTTCACTACACACTTATCGAATTTCAGTATAGGAGACATACATTCATTCAGTTCCTCACATTTCACTCGATATGGATGGTTAAGTAGGCAGCTATCTGGATATGTTTCATCATCTTCCTGAGGGCAATCTTTTATGCCATCCTTGATGCGATGTTTAGAAATGCATTTAGATGAGTTTTGACATTTATATAATGATGGATGATCGCAATAATTTGTTTTGTTATGGAAGATAAGATGATAAGTGAAGCAAGGGCCATAATCGCTTTCCATCAGCCCCATGATGAATGGCCAATAATGCATAGAATCAACCCAGAATGGCATTAATAAGTTATATTGAATGCAAGTGAGGTTTCCATAGATGAATTGAGGTGTAATGAAATCACACAATTGCTGATTATAGCAAATGTAATCGGGTAGAAAAAATTCAGTCGAATTCCATCTCGAATGAACATCTTTATAAAAGAAACGAAAATGACCAGCATAAACTGGAATAGTCGGAAACTGAAAAAAAGGATCGCATTGGTTTAGAAACTCATAAGTCGAATTGCTCATTAGCCATGTTTCACATGAAGTTCCATTAACTTGATTGCTAAGGCGAGTCAAACACACCATAGCAATCCAGCATTCGTCTGTTAGGTTACCTTGGGTTCTCATCAGGTTAACCGATAATTTATGGCGACCATTATGGCACATTCCAGATTGAAAAACACATTGGCCATCTCCGCATGAAAAGCTCATAGAACCTCTTCTGCAAGTATGCTCTTCACAGCGAAACGTTGGATCTTGAAAACAGAAAGTATTATAAGAGAAATGTCGTAGTTCATCCGATCGATCGAGACACTCTGCATCGCCTTCTCCTTCTTCCCAGAACTTATTGGAAATGCACAATCCATTATGACATCGATATTCATCATCTTCGCACTCATTTATTTCCATATCGAAGCAAGACTCTTCATCAATTCTCTCATCGAAACAATCAATAACGCCATTGCACACTTCACGCCAATCAAGACACCATTTTTGTCCATTACGATGGCATTTTAGAAGAACATAACATGGTACTTGGACCATTATATCAGACGACGTATTATACGGCATCCTTGTCCGAAATGCAGTTTTAACAATATCGCTAAAAGACATCTGTTTATCGAATTCAAAAGAATATTGACATTGGAGACCAAACCATGGTTCAGTACAATTGTAGAAATGTTTGTTCCATGATGGATTCGGTTCATTGATATACAATTGGTATTGCTCGGCTAGATCAATCGGAACCGACCACAAGAGAAGTTGTCGCGAAGTAATGTTTGCCAGGCGTAGTTCTTCAAAACTTAAGTTTTGAGAAAGTGGATTGACAGGAACTGTGAGTGAAAATTCACCATCATGATTTTCTGGACGAAAACAATATCGAATAAGTTCATTGGTTATATTTGTTAATCCTTGATAAGCCGACTTGTCACTGGAAACATAATAGTCCAAGCAGTCGAATTGTAAATCATTGTGTTTACTTGTTTGATCAGTATTGTGAAGATTCAATTGACAAGTAATCGTCGTCCACCGAAATAAAATTAGAAAAAGAAACTGAAATATTATTGCACTTTTTTTAGACAAGATTGCTTTCTCCATCAGTCGACTTTTTTTCTTTATTGCCACCAATTTCTACAGTACAGAATTGCTTTAGTTCAGAAAAACTTATATAAAACCATGTTTATCAAGAAAAAACTATTTTCTGCATTGAAGTACCGATGAGTGAATAGTTAATATTATTGGTTGCTCGCTTTCTCTCTCTATTACAGATAAGAAAAACATGCAGAAGAAAATGAAAACACGTTCAAATAACTAATAATCGTGATAAAACGATGGATGAGAATCTTATGACAATACACAGTTACACACGTTTTAGAAAAAAACCTACAACATTGATTATTTAACTTTACATGTATACTCCGTGCTAGGTTAATATTTTGAAAAATAATGATTAAAAGTCATAAACTAACAGGCACCTACGAGGAAAGCAACGATTCCAGCCACAAAGCCTGCACTGTCTAAAAATGAAACATTATACCGATTAAGTCGATTATTTGACGAGAAACTTGTTAGTTATATTCTGTTATTTTTGTCGTTATTTTAATTGTTTTTTTTTCATTAAATTATTTATGAACTTGTTCTACATCAAGTGGAAAATTCAACAGTAAATAAGCCAAAATTTTCATTTTTTTTTTGTCAATGTTTCGCCATACGATTTGTTAGTGATTTAGTTTAAAAACACGATAAATCGCTTGCAAACTCCAGATTATTTGTACAAACGATTAAGACTCAACCAGAAGAAAAGACAATGTTTAATTAATCGTCGATAATTTCACGAAACATGCACTGTCTACTTTTACAATACCCTTCCCTAAGGTTTTTTCAAAAAGATTGAAGTACAGTGGAACATAAGTTCGAGATTCGGATTCGAGATATTTAAGGATCGACTAATCCAGGTAAATGTTCTAACACCATTTTTACATGTTCTAAGTATAAAATGACGAACTTGATCAGATGGCGACAACTGTTGCTCGACACATCTTATGATAGCCGAGAAAAACCTGAAATACTACGTTTTCTTCTATTAGAAAAATTTAAACAAGCAAGCTCTGAGCCGATTCGTCTGTGGAAAAGTTTCAACAAAAATAATCCTGCTTGAAGTACAACTTGATGACCTCTATCATATACTCAAAACTTAAGGGCCCCCCTCAGAAAATCGATTTTTTTGAAACAATATCGAAATTGAGTTTTTACCATAGAAAGATAGAGCGAAGCTTCCTCTTTCAGAATATATATAGATTTTTGGAAAATGATCGATTTTTCAAGGACTTGTCAGATCAGATTTTAACTTCCCTACCATATTTTCCAAGAAATTTTCGTAGTTTTTTAGAGTTTTTCAGCTTTGGAAAAATCCCGTTGCTACTTCAAATATCATTGAATAAAACAGTTTAATATTAACCCGCGTGTAAAAATGGCGCTAGTTTTACTGCATCTTTTACGCGCCTTAAAATAGTTTTAGAAAATTTATTGAAAATATGCCATTTTAATATGAATTTTTTGAATTTAACCGAAGAAAACCAATTCTAAAACTTCTTTAAGGTTTTTCTCAGAATATGATTTCCAATCAGAAAAATTGGATCTCCTCCCTCGTTTTTCGAGCTATTGCCAATATTTTTTTTGTTTTAAATGTCTCAATCAGAGTAAACTTTTGTCCGAATGGATTTTTGCAAGTTGGTTCCTGGGTTGAGAAAAGTGGAATTTACTGTCGTTGGACTACCATTTTTTATGCTAATTTTAAGACCCTCGCACTAAAATGC